ACTCGGATCGAAACTAACAATAAACTTGACGGCCTCGTTGGTATAGTAGCTCACCGCCTTACCTCCGATAGTCACGGGTTCGACTCGCACGCTACAAACATTTGTATTCATGAGTATGATTGTTTACATCGGTCTGGGTGTTTTCTATGTATAAATATCTATGTATTTGTATCAGTTGTCTAGTACCCATAACATATATTTTAGCTAGCTTAACTTGGGTCTAGACGGCGCTGTGTGAATTGTTCTGAGATTATTATTATTTTACAAAAATTCTCATCTCCCCTCTTAAGGAGAGGAGATGGCAACTTCCCCCGGCAGAAGCACAGTCGGCCGGGGTTCAGGGCCCCAGGAAGAGAATTTGTTCTTCTCATCTCATCATTCCGAGCGTACAATACGGGCAGAATCTAAATATTATTATTATTATTATACTTATAAATATTCTTGTCAGTACAATGCGGACAGAATCTAAATATTATTATTATTATATATATATAAATATTTGTATCTTGCTAGTAACCGAACCTGCGGCAATCAAAAGCAAAGCGGTGAGCTCTGTTAGACCTCGGTCCATCAGATATACGGTAGATACTACATTCAGCGTGTGATGTTTGCCCCAAAAATTATATTTCCCTGTTGATGAGCCGTCACCGGCTACCAGTCCGCATTAATGAAGCCAACGGAATAATTCCACGAAAAATTTACGCTGACGAGGCAAAAATTTGAGCGGCTAATGCAATGATCTCATTCGTTAGCGCCACACACCGCAAAAGCTAATGGAATTAATAATTTGCCAGATCATATGCGAAAAGCGGTACGGAACCCGTTTGACATAATAATTACATCTTTTTAGGGTTCCCACACAATAGAATAGACTAGAAAATCCTTTATTCATATAAATTTAATTTAAGCACTTTTCAATAATCATAGCAATTTTTTAATCTACCGCAAATTCGGAATTCTGTCTCATCACAAGAACGAGTAAGAAACTTTTGTGTTGCTCTTTTAAACAATCCTTGTAAGTTCACATTTCACAAGTCGAAATGTGTGAATACAAACTACCAACCAGCACTAATTTATTAGGGTCAAATAATAATAATAATCTCAGGTATATATTGTAATAATCATCTAGACCCAAGTTAAGCTATCTAAAGTTTGTGTTATGGGTACTTGATAACTGATACATATACATAGATTTTTTTGTAAATACATACATATTATACATAGAAAACACCCAGACCGATACAAACAATCATACTCATGAATACAAATGTTCGTGCCGTGCGAGGAATCGAACCCGCGACCATCAGTCGTAAAGCGGTGTGCTAGACCGCTAGACCACCGAGGTCGTCAAATAGAAATACACAATAAGATTAAATCAATCGTAGTGAGTATGACTATCGTTTTGGAGATCTTTGGGGAGGCCTATGTCCAGCAGTGGACGTCTTCCGGGCTGAAATGATAATGACATTTTAGCCGCTTATGAACGTCAAATTTTTTATATCATAATTTTTCCGTACCCTCCATTTCAATATACAGATTTAATTAAAAAGAACTGGCAAGTATCTCATTGAATTGATTACTTTTTTTTAAAAAAAAAGCCACTTTATTTACGATGTATATTTATATAGGTGTCTTTGTCTAACATTAAATGAAAATCTCGTGCTTGAACAACTATTACCATGCACGCACGTCATTCAACTAATCGTTTAGTGAGTAATAGGCTTTGCTCAGTAAATATGATTTAACAGATGTTTTGAATACATTTAAGGGTTAATTCAGATAAATGCGAAAGTTTGTAAATATGGATGTTTGTTACTCTTTGACGCAAAAACTGTTAAACGGATTATGATGAAACTCTGCAATGATTACATCAGAATAACATAGGCTTTTTTTCGGACTACTCTAATGCTGTTGGCCGTAGCTGGCCTTTACAGCTTCACCGGACGTTATGGGGCGAGTGCAGATTGCACTACAAACCCGCGGAAGGACTTATGGAGCGGCTGAAGGCCAACTCCTGCCCGACGGATACGACTTTAGTCTGAGGGCACCACTAGGGGTTCGAACCTCGGCTCAGGCCGTCGTAATTTCGATCCCCGTTTGAATTGGACGGGGGATCGATCGGAGGGGATTAACATAGGCTATAAATTTCACGCGAGCGAAACCGTATGCACAGCTTGTTAGTATAAAGTGAAGTTGCTCCAGTTGTATGTTCGCTTAAAACTACGCAACAGATTGTAATGCAATTGTTAGCAACAGAAAGAGTGATTCAAGAGGAAGAATATTTCTATCATTAAAAAAAATGGCGGTTCGCGCCAAAAATATATACCTGCGCGAAATGCGAACAAATAAAAAGCGAAACGAAGCAGCTCGTTACCGGACACACCCTAATCCAATCAGGTTGATTCTCATTGACCCTTTTGCGAGCAAACCGAGTTTTATCAGAACAGAAAAGTGCCTACGTCAGAGAGTATATTAAGTAAACATGTGCTATATTCAGGTGACCACCAACTATACACAGTTACTGAGTTTTGTACTCTTTTTCTCAAACCGTACTCTTTTCAAATCGTATAGATACTCTGGCAGTACTCATTTGCATAATTTCATACTCATTTGTATTAGTAAAACATTTTTTTAGATTATCTTATTTCAATTTTATTAATGATAATTTTCTCTTTGAAGAAATTCGAAGAGTAGATTTATATTAAACTAGCTTTTGGCTGCGGCTTCGCTCGCGTTAATTTATCCCCTTAGGGGTGGAATTTATCAAAATCCGTTCTTAGGGGATGCCTACGTCATAGTAGCTTTATGCGTGCTTGCGGTTTAAAATTGACAAAGTTTCATACATACAAACTTTCATCCCCTATTTTATCCCCTAGGGGGTAGAATTAACCAAAATCCTTTCTTAGCGGATGCCTACGTCATAACATCTACCTGCATGCCAAATTTCAGCCGGATCCGTCCAGTGGTTTGAGCTGTGCGTTGATAGATCACTACGTCAGTCACCTTTCAGTTATATATATTTAGATGAAGAAAAATTGAAATAGAAATAGAAATAATCTTTATTCAAATAAACTCATTACAAGCATTTTTGAATAGTCATATTTTGATTCTACCACTCATTCGGAATGCAGATTCATCACAAGAAGAATGAGCAAGAAACTTGTGCGTAGCTCTTTTCAATAGATGTTTTTTTTATATAATAATTGAAGAAATAGAACGATGAGAAAATAGAATTCGACAAAAGATTAGTAGAAATCTTTCAGCATTTTAAAGTAGAACATATCCCACATGAAAATGTATAAGTTTCAATAGAAATTTCCTTATGTTGTCCAGTGACTAATGTTGCTGTTGAAAGTACATCACTAGGAAACGTTTATTATAGCAGTGAGAAGTCACATTTCTGTAAAAACATTATCTACCGTCTTAACTGTCAAATTTAATATGTAAAATGAAAGTTGCTCGGCTGTGACTACATTTCGGACGCTTGTATCCAGAGCCGTAAAATATTAATAAATAAAAAAATCATCACGTAGCAAAAAAAAAATACACTCCAAAGAAAAATATGTTTTTAAAAGAAAATAAAGTTTTTATCGTTATTTCTTTTTTTTTTCACCTATGAAATACAAAGTGTACTCTTTTTGAACAAAAAATATTTGGTCACCTTATTATTATACTTGGTATATCTGTAATATACTTATTAAAATATTATTCTGTGTGTTTATTAGCGAAGAGGTTTAGGTAGGCTGTTTATTTATTTTCAAAGTGAAATAATAATATTTTACAAGAAATATGTAGGTATGTATTTACTTTTACATTGCAGTATAAAATTACAATCCAGTTTCATCGCTTAAATCTCTCCTTTCCGTAGAAAAGAACATGTGCCTACACTTGTGATATTTCTCAATTTCTCAAGTGTCGACACACTTGAGACCCTTCTATTAGTTTACGTCTACACTAACATATATTTAAGTTCAGTGTAAAATCAGTCTACGCCCCGACTCCGCGTCGACTGGGCGCGTTAATAAACCATGTAGCAACTACCAATAAACTTAATAATGTCTAATAAGTAGTGCAATCATTTTACTGGTATACTCACTACCTACATACTACAACAAATATATTATGTAGCGCCACCTCTTCACAACAAATATATAACGATACACTGTATCATGTAATGAGGATAACCACCGCGCTACAAACAGAACAGATAAAGCATAAGAGAACAGAACAAATAAAAAAAAAGTTCAATATACAAGTATGTCACTAGTATAAATATATCTCATTTAACACGACCTTAGTCTAGCGATTTAGCACACCGCTTCACTTCCGTCGGTCGCGGGTTCGATTCCTCGTACAGTACGAATTTGTCCTCGTGAGTTTGATTATTTGTATTGATCCGGGTATTTCTATGATTATTATGTGTGTATTTACAAAAAAAATGTATCCAAATATTTATGTCAGTCGTCTAGCACTCATAACACAAACTCTGAGTAGCTTGGGACTGGCTATCAACGCACGGAACTACAAATTAGGAGCCAATACCTATAGATAAACATTTTTATAAATAGATAACATTATTCTCATTCTATATAGACGACCTGGCTCTAATCCGAAATCATTTTTCATGTACTAAGTATCACACACAGACTGGTCATCCGCATCCTTCTAGGGAATGAAGGTTGGGACCTCGGGACTTTTGCCCTGACATCAACTCCGGGGACAATAACCCCCGTTTGGATGTATTTAAGACTTTTAAGGCGAGATACTGAAAAAACTAACAGTAATAAAATTAAAATACCCTTGACCTAAATTAAAAAATAGTGCCATACCTGGGTATATTTTTTTCTTTAATGTTTAATTTAAATATATATTTTTAAGTAATAAATAACTTAATAAGTAATTAATAAAGCGCAGATGTCACTGTCAGTTGTCAATTTTGACGCGCTCAGTCAGCTGACACTGACTACTTTGACACTTGTCAGTTGTGGTATTTAATAATTTGCAAATCCAAACGTTTGGCAATCAAACAGTATCTAAAATTGAAACATTCAATGCGGAGAACTGAAGACATAGTTATGGCTCTGAGTTACTTATCCGAAGGCGATGCGCCCCGGGATTTTCGCGTATCCTCAACGGAGAGTCACGGACATTACACTAAGTGCCTCCTTTGTTACACGGTTAAAAGAAATTTCTACTGTGCAGAATGCATTAATACAGGAAACTTCGTCCACTCGTCTATGCCTCATGCAGACAGGTTTCTATTTTTCATTATATTACAAATAAAATATTACATTATTTGACATCTTTGTTAAAAATACCATCAATCCTAGAATACGTATGTATGACATTATCTAAACTTTCGGTTCTGTGTTTCTGTGACGCGATTTCTAACGCCATATGCGCATTACGCAGCAATGTTTACAAACTTATTGTTTTGTAAAACAGTTTAAGAAATACGTATCAATCTATGGTTGACTTTGGTTTTCTCTCTCTCTTTTGGTATTGGTTTGTCTCTGTCTACCAGATTAGAATCTTAACTTAATAATCTATGATGTAACAGTAATGGAATTGATATATAATTTAATATCCAATACTATGTGATCTATCTATGTAATGTAAGTTTGACTCCACTCTGTGCAATTAGTCTCTCAACTGGACCATTGTGCGTGTAGAGCCAGACTACTAGAGTAGCCAGCCAAGCTCCTCCCAAAAGCGCAGAAGTCTCCTGGTGTCTTCACAGGCTTCACAGAGTGACCTTACCATTCCGAGCATTTGTTTTCATTGTATCTCACTGTTCCGAGGGTTTGTTTTCGTTTTGTGGCTACTGCTACACACTCCAGGATTATGTGAGCCTCACAGTTGTTTATTTTATAACTGGCTATTACAAAAAGCATTACTTACCTTAAACTTAATGAAATATCTACCTCGTAAAACATACCATCATTATATATTTCTGAAGTATGCCTATTTGTTAAAATAAACAAGCACTTATTTCCACGACTTTCTGAAGTTGTAAATCGCAATCGATGTGACATTGATAAATTATGTATTAAAATTTATTTCCCATCCCGTCCTTGTCGCCTCTGATAAATAATGACACAGTAGTCTCACAGTCGTTCATTTTATAACTGGCTATTACAAAAAGCATTACTTACCCTAAACTTAATGAAATATCTACCTACATAATAATTATCTAATTACTTACACTAAATTCTATTATACTTACTATTCGCAGCTGATAATAGATAAGTTTTATTATTATTTTACGCTAGCTTTTGCCCGCGGCTTCGCTCGCGTTAATTTATACCCTTAGGGGTGGAATTCATCAAAATCCTCTCTTAGGGGATGCCTACGTCATAGTAGCTTTATGCATGCAAAATCTCAGCCTGATCGGTTTGAAATTGATATAGTTTCATACAAACTTTCATCCCCTGTTTTATCCCCTTGGGGGTAGAATTAATCAAAATCCTTTCTTAGCAGACGCCTACGTCATAACATCTACCTGCACGCCAAGTTTCAGCCCGATCCGTCCAGTGGTTTGGTCTATACGTTGATAGATCACTATGTCATTCTCCTTTGAGTTATATATATTTAGTTTATATTAGATTATAATTTTATTTACCATGACAAAAAGCATTTGAAATATTGTATATACCCAAGATCTTTAATAAATATGATCACTAGTCCTATAACTAACAATTTTTACTTACACAAAGTCACCTGGGTAGCATTGTCTCACCTATGTCGGCCACGATGCATTATAAGGCATAAATAAAAATAACATAAAATAAATTTTAGATTTTCAGAGAAACAAGGAAAATTACTCAGACTGAAAGTAAACAGAAAACATGTGTTGGACAGATGCGAGAAATTGTTATCAAATAAAATACATAAAGACACTCTACTCACAGAAGCAAAGTTGGCCAAAGACAAACTGAATCTGTTAAAATTAGCCATAGAGCAGAGGAAGAACAATATAGAGGAGAAAAGGAAAGTACTAACTGAATTGAAACAGTGCAACAATGAACTGAGTCTGAAATTACCGAGGTATCAAAAAAGAGTAGCGAGTTTAGAGAGTCATGCTCAGCAACAACAAATTGTACTTCACAATAAAGTCAGTCTGTACAATGAACAAGCGGAATCTTTGGCCGCGCTGCGCCGGTCGAGGATACGACAGCTCAATAAGTACATATTTCCAGTATATCTGAGCTATGATATGAGGTAATTACATTATATTTAGTTAGAACATAACCTAATTCACTATTCTATTCAAATATCATAAAATTTTTTTTTATAACTGGATTAGCAAATTGACTGATGATCCACCAAATAGTATTCAGTTGCTTATGTACTCCTCTGTTCATTACATAGACCATGTTAGTTAGGATAATATTATCATGACTAACATGGTTCTTACAATACATTGCCATTCCAAAATGCTAAGATATCATGCATCTGTAACTCATAGTTTCTTTGCCATAATCACCCTTTCTCGGACACATCTTTCAAAGCAAGCAGCCTAAATGTAATATAATAATCTTGGACAATTCTCACAGCATCATCTAGTCCTAGACTAAGCAGAGCTTGTGTTATGGGTAATAGATAAGTGTATAAATAATTAAATACATTTTTCTGTAAATACATAATGTACATAGAAAACACCACACCGATACAAACAATCATACTCATGAATACAAATGTTTGTACGGTGCGAAAAATTAACCCTTGGCCATCCGAAGAAAGCAGTGTGCTGAACTTCTCAACCATAAAGACTGAAACTCCCACATAGATGAATTGGTGTACAAATTACCTGAGTAAAGATTTACAACCTTAATAATAAATGAAATTGAAACAGCCAACAGGAAACTAAAGTATAAAGATAAAGATCATAACCATATATAAAACTTTTCATATTCCAGTGATAGTATAGAAGATATGGAGTTTGTGGGTGAGGATGCTGAAGAGGTGGATCCAAAAAGGTCACAGCTCCACATTGGAGCGCCGTGGATCAATACAGATGGTGATTTCACCGCAATTCAGTCTTGGGGTCAGTATATATTTATATATTACTAACTACTTGAATAGAATATACTAGCCCCGGCTTCGCACGGGTGTACATGTATTATATATAAATCTTCCTCTTGAATCACTCTATTAAATAAATAAATCAGCAGACAGCGACAGCGACTTTGTTTTATACTATGTAATAATGATATGAAAACTGGATCTGCTAAACTTTTTGAAACAAATTATTGAATAAATTATGCCTCTAAAACAGGCTTTTACAAAGAACAACAGAATATTTGTTATTTGTAAAACGTACCGTCATTATATATTTATGAAGTATGCCTATTTGTTAAAATAAACAAGCACTTATTTCCACGACTTTCTGAAATTGTAAATCGCAATCAACGTGACATTGATAAATTATGTATTAAAATATCTACGACAAAGCTTATGCATGACAGTATATTATGTATGGGACCTAAAATATATAATAAGTTACCTAAATACTTGAAGAGCCTTCCCAATAATGTATTTAAATATAAATTAAAGAGGTTGTTGATTGACAAATGTTATTATAGTATATCGAACTTCGAGATGATAAATTTGACGAAATGTTTTATTAGTTTCATATTATTGTACATATACTTAAGTTGTAGTTTTTGTATTATTATGACATCATTCTTTTTTATTATTGTTTAACATTTAAAGTTAATATTTTATTGTAGCATTTAAATATATTGTATGCCATCTAGGCTAAACATGTCGGACAAATTCCTTGTATGTATATTATCTACTTATGCAATCACGCATGTTTTACAAATAAAGAATCTTGAATACTACTGAAATTCGACGTCACTACATATGTACGAGCTAGCATCGCACATTATTTCGCTACACTAACATTTTTTTTTACATTTCACATTTCATTTAAAATCATTTCGCATTTGTCAACAAGAATGCCGCGCGTACTCACTTATGCAGTTTTAATCAAGTTTCTATCATTATCATTTATCTGATTTACCTATTGTTGCGGGTGAATATAGCTTTGGTACAGCCCTAACAACATATAAAGGTAAAACAAATCGAAATGGCCAAGCATTAAGAAAAGAAGGAATTCATTGATTTAAAGAAGGATTTACTTAGGTGGAGTCTCGCTAACTTAATAGTTGCAAATAGATGCCTATTAGTAGATAGGGTATTGAAATCGACTTCTATATTTATGTACAATTTTTTACCACCATTAATATCTTGATGACGATCCTTCGAGCCGGATCAACACTCATTGTTTAGGTTGATTTTTTATCCTTACACGTACGCCCTTTCACGCGGGAATCATTTTTTATGTAGGAAATACTGTGTATGCAAATGTAGACAAAGAGAACGAGAAAGACCCGGCACCCTGGTTTAGCGTCTTTTTATAATAATGAATTAATGTTACAAAATGGCGGATATATAACTATAGAGCAAAGACATAATTATAGAGTTATAGATAATGTATACATTGTAAAGGTGTTTTTAAAAAAAAAATTATCTTTGGAATAATAAATTAGATTTTAAAGGAAATTGTAGTGACGCGAAAGAGTGATCACAAAAAAATAGTAAAATGCAATCACACACGATTGCGGACTCAGGTTTTCCCGCGCTAAATCTCGCTTGAAGAAATTTTTTAAATAAAAGCAGCAATTTGTTAAAAACTTATCCGGCTCGTAAGGACTAAGTATGTGGTGCGGTGTGACGTGTGCGTGTGTGTGACGTGTGCGTGTGTGCGTGCAGTGTCGCAGCACAAGGAGGCGCCGGCGCTGCACGCGGCGCACCGCGCCACCGCCGCGCTGTCGCTGGCCGCGCAGCTCGCCGCGCTGCTCGCCTGGACGCTCGACGCGCGCCTCCCGCAGCCCATCGTGCTCAGGTACCACCGCCGCGCGCACACTGCCGGACAAGTGTCCTTTCTTCTTTGTGCTCTATTCTTTTTCAAAACTAGTATGTATCGACTATGTTAAAAAATACTATTTCGTGTATAATTTGGTCTCTTATTAATTTGGGTGTTGATAATATCGATTCAATATTCCCTTACCGTGTTACGGTCGATCTGGCAGCCGGCCTCGAGTTTCCCTAGTCAAAAAATGTAGGCGAAGGCATTTTAAGTCCGCGAAAGAACTTACGAAATGCCAAATAATATTTTAAAATTTGTTAGAATGGAATAGAGGACTAGAGCGGCTTCGTTTTGTGGTATACCTCGTAGATAACGTGTGTGATGTCGGTAGCGAATACTGTAACTGGCGCGTGTACGGTGGAGGCGCTCGCTGGCGCACGAGGAGACTTCGTGCGGCGTGCGGCGCGCTGTGCACGCGCGCAGCCATCGCGCCCTCCGCCGCGCTGGAGCCGGCGCGCGCGCTCGCCGCGCTGCACGCGCTCGCCGTCGCCGCCGCCGCGGACCACGCGCAGCTCGGCAGGTAACTAGCACAGTGACTAGCGCAGCTCGCAGGTAACTAGCACAGTGACTAGCGCAGCTCGCAGGTAACTAGCACAGTGACTAGCGCAGCTCGCAGGTAACTAGCACAGTGACTAGCGCAGCTCGCGCCCTCCGCCGCGCTGGAGCCGGCGCGCGCGCTCGCCGCGCTGCACGCGCTCGCCGTCGCCGCCGCCGCGGACCACGCGCAGCTCGGCAGGTAACTAGCACAGTGACTAGCGCAGCTCGCAGGTAACTAGCACAGTGACTAGCGCAGCTCGCAGGTAACTAGCACAGTGACTAGCGCAGCTCGCAGGTAACTAGCGCAGTGACTAGCGCAGCTCGCAGGTAACTAGCACAGTGACTAGCGCAGCTCGCAGGTAACTAGCACAGTGACTAGCGCAGCTCGCAGGTAACTAGCACAGTGACTAGCGCAGCTCGCAGGTAACTAGCGCAGTGACTAGCGCAGCTCGCAGGTAACTAGCACAGTGACTAGCGCAGCTCGCAGGTAACTAGCACAGTGACTAGCGCAGCTCGCGCCCTCCGCCGCGCTGGAGCCGGCGCGCGCGCTCGCCGCGCTGCACGCGCTCGCCGTCGCCGCCGCCGCGGACCACGCGCAGCTCGGCAGGTAACTAACACAGTGACTAGCGCAGCTCGCAGGTAACTAGCACAGTGACTAGCGCAGCTCGCAGGTAACTAGCACAGTGACTAGCGCAGCTCGCAGGTAACTAGCACAGTGACTAGCGCAGCTCGCAGGTAACTAGCACAGTGACTAGCGCAGCTCGCAGGTAACTAGCACAGTGACTAGCGCAGCTCGCAGGTAACTAGCGCAGTGACTAGCGCAGCTCGCAGGTAACTAGCACAGTGACTAGCGCAGCTCGCAGGTAACTAGCACAGTGACTAGCGCAGCTCGCAGGTAACTAGCGCAGTGACTAGCGCAGCTCGCAGGTAACTAGCACAGTGACTAGCGCAGCTCGCAGGTAACTAGCACAGTGACTAGCGCAGCTCGCGCCCTCCGCCGCGCTGGAGCCGGCGCGCGCGCTCGCCGCGCTGCACGCGCTCGCCGTCGCCGCCGCCGCGGACCACGCGCAGCTCGGCAGGTAACTAACACAGTGACTAGCGCAGCTCGCAGGTAACTAGCACAGTGACTAGCGCAGCTCGCAGGTAACTAGCACAGTGACTAGCGCAGCTCGCAGGTAACTAGCACAGTGACTAGCGCAGCTCGCAGGTAACTAGCACAGTGACTAGCGCAGCTCGCGCCCTCCGCCGCGCTGGAGCCGGCGCGCGCGCTCGCCGCGCTGCACGCGCTCGCCGTCGCCGCCGCCGCGGACCACGCGCAGCTCGGCAGGTAACTAACACAGTGACTAGCGCAGCTCGCAGGTAACTAGCACAGTGACTAGCGCAGCTCGCAGGTAACTAGCACAGTGACTAGCGCAGCTCGCAGGTAACTAGCACAGTGACTAGCGCAGCTCGCAGGTAACTAGCACAGTGACTAGCGCAGCTCGCAGGTAACTAGCACAGTGACTAGCGCAGCTCGCAGGTAACTAGCACAGTGACTAGCGCAGCTCGCAGGTAACTAGCACAGTGACTAGCGCAGCTCGCAGGTAACTAGCACAGTGCGCAGCTCGCGCCCTCCGCCGCGCTGGAGCCGGCGCGCGCGCTCGCCGCGCTGCACGCGCTCGCCGTCGCCGCCGCCGCGGACCACGCGCAGCTCGGCAGGTAACTAACACAGTGACTAGCGCAGCTCGCAGGTAACTAGCACAGTGACTAGCGCAGCTCGCAGGTAACTAGCACAGTGACTAGCGCAGCTCGCAGGTAACTAGCACAGTGACTAGCGCAGCTCGCAGGTAACTAGCACAGTGACTAGCGCAGCTCGCGCCCTCCGCCGCGCTGGAGCCGGCGCGCGCGCTCGCCGCGCTGCACGCGCTCGCCGTCGCCGCCGCCGCGGACCACGCGCGGCTCGGCAGGTAACTAACACAGTGACTAGCGCAGCTCGCAGGTAACTAGCACAGTGACTAGCGCAGCTCGCAGGTAATTAGCACAGTGACTAGCGCAGCTCGCAGGTAACTAGCACAGTGACTAGCGCAGCTCGCAGGTAACTAGCACAGTGACTAGCGCAGCTCGCGCCCTCCGCCGCGCTGGAGCCGGCGCGCGCGCTCGCCGCGCTGCACGCGCTCGCCGTCGCCGCCGCCGCGGACCACGCGCAGCTCGGCAGGTAACTAACACAGTGACTAGCGCAGCTCGCAGGTAACTAGCACAGTGACTAGCGCAGCTCGCAGGTAACTAGCACAGTGACTAGCGCAGCTCGCAGGTAACTAGCACAGTGACTAGCGCAGCTCGCAGGTAACTAGCACAGTGACTAGCGCAGCTCGCAGGTAACTAGCACAGTGACTAGCGCAGCTCGCAGGTAACTAGCACAGTGACTAGCGCAGCTCGCAGGTAACTAGCACAGTGACTAGCGCAGCTCGCAGGTAACTAGCACAGTGACTAGCGCAGCTCGCGCCCTCCGCCGCGCTGGAGCCGGCGCGCGCGCTCGCCGCGCTGCACGCGCTCGCCGTCGCCGCCGCCGCGGACCACGCGCAGCTCGGCAGGTAACTAACACAGTGACTAGCGCAGCTCGCAGGTAACTAGCACAGTGACTAGCGCAGCTCGCAGGTAACTAGCACAGTGACTAGCGCAGCTCGCAGGTAACTAGCACAGTGACTAGCGCAGCTCGCAGGTAACTAGCACAGTGACTAGCGCAGCTCGCGCCCTCCGCCGCGCTGGAGCCGGCGCGCGCGCTCGCCGCGCTGCACGCGCTCGCCGTCGCCGCCGCCGCGGACCACGCGCAGCTCGGCAGGTAACTAACACAGTGACTAGCGCAGCTCGCAGGTAACTAGCACAGTGACTAGCGCAGCTCGCAGGTAATTAGCACAGTGACTAGCGCAGCTCGCAGGTAACTAGCACAGTGACTAGCGCAGCAGTCGCAGGTAACTAGCACAGTGACTAGCGCAGCTCGCGCCCTCCGCCGCGCTGGAGCCGGCGCGCGCGCTCGCCGCGCTGCACGCGCTCGCCGTCGCCGCCGCCGCGGACCACGCGCAGCTCGGCAGGTAACTAGCACAGTGACTAGCGCAGCTCGCAGGTAACTAGCACAGTGACTAGCGCAGCTCGCAGGTAATTAGCACAGTGACTAGCGCAGCTCGCAGGTAACTAGCACAGTGACTAGCGCAGCTCGCAGGTAACTAGCACAGTGACTAGCGCAGCTCGCAGGTAACTAGCACAGTGACTAGCGCAGCTCGCAGGTAACTAGCACAGTGACTAGCGCAGCTCGCAGGTAACTAGCACAGTGACTAGCGCAGCTCGCAGGTAACTAGCACAGTGACTAGCGCAGCTCGCAGGTAACTAGCACAGTGACTAGCGCAGCTCGCAGGTAACTAGCACAGTGACTAGCGCAGCTCGCAGGTAACTAGCACAGTGACTAGCGCAGCTCGCGCCCTCCGCCGCGCTGGAGCCGGCGCGCGCGCTCGCCGCGCTGCACGCGCTCGCCGTCGCCGCCGCCGCGGACCACGCGCAGCTCGGCAGGTAACTAGCACAGTGACTAGCGCAGCTCGCAGGTAACTAGCACAGTGACTAGCGCAGCTCGCAGGTAACTAGCACAGTGACTAGCGCAGCTCGCAGGTAACTAGCACAGTGACTAGCGCAGCTCGCAGGTAACTAGCACAGTGACTAGCGCAGCTCGCAGGTAACTAGCACAGTGACTAGCGCAGCTCGCAGGTAACTAGCACAGTGACTAGCGCAGCTCGCAGGTAACTAGCACAGTGACTAGCGCAGCTCGCAGGTAACTAGCGCAGTGACTAGCGCAGCTCGGCAGGTAACTAGCACAGTGACTAGCGCAGCTCGCAGGTAACTAGCACAGTGACTAGCGCAGCTCGCAGGTAACTAGCGCAGTGACTAGCGCAGCTCGCGCCCTCCGCCGCGCTGGAGCCGGCGCGCGCGCTCGCCGCGCTGCACGCGCTCGCCGTCGCCGCCGCCGCGGACCACGCGCAGCTCGGCAGGTAACTAGCACAGTGACTAGCGCAGCTCGCAGGTAACTAGCACAGTGACTAGCGCAGCTCGCAGGTAACTAGCACAGTGACTAGCGCAGCTCGCAGGTAACTAGCGCAGTGACTAGCGCAGCTCGGCAGGTAACTAGCACAGTGGCTAGCGCAGCTCGCAGGTAACTAGCGCAGTGACTAGCGCAGCTCGCGCCCTCCGCCGCGCTGGAGCCGGCGCGCGCGCTCGCCGCGCTGCACGCGCTCGCCGTCGCCGCCGCCGCGGACCACGCGCAGCTCGGCAGGTAACTAGCACAGTGACTAGCGCAGCTCGCAGGTAACTAGCACAGTGACTAGCGCAGCTCGCAGGTAACTAGCGCAGTGACTAGCGCAGCTCGCAGGTAACTAGCACAGTGACTAGCGCAGCTCGCAGGTAACTAGCACAGTGACTAGCGCAGCTCGCAGGTAACTAGCACAGTGACTAGCGCAGCTCGCAGGTAACTAGCACAGTGACTAGCGCAGCTCGCAGGTAACTAGCACAGTGACTAGCGCAGCTCGCAGGTAACTAGCACAGTGACTAGCGCAGCTCGCAGGTAACTAGCACAGTGACTAGCGCAGCTCGCAGGTAACTAGCACAGTGACTAGCGCAGCTCGCAGGTAACTAGCACAGTGACTAGCGCAGCTCGCAGGTAACTAGCACAGTGACTAGCGCAGCTCGCAGGTAACTAGCGCAGTGACTAGCGCAGCTCGGCAGGTAACTAGCACAGTGACTAGCGCAGCTCGCAGGTAACTAGCACAGTGACTAGCGCAGCTCGCAGGTAACTAGCGCAGTGACTAGCGCAGCTCGCAGGTAACTAGCACAGTGACTAGCGCAGCTCGCAGGTAACTAGCACAGTGACTAGCGCAGCTCGCAGGTAACTAGCACAGTGACTAGCGCAGCTCGCAGGTAACTAGCACAGTAAAAACGTATAACAGTGAACCCAGAAATGAAGTTAGTAAGAGAGCACTGCATTCGCAGATATCACACAACAGTCTGCCACAAATATCAAACAAAATACACTGTTTGACATCCCACAGCCCTTGCAAAAATGACTCCCTACTTCCTACCCGAACTTCTTGCATATAGCAATATAGTGACAGTGGGTCCGTGTGCAGGGTGGAGACGTGGGCGAGCGAGGAGGTGTTGTCTGCGGGCGAGGCGTGGGCGGGCGCGTGGGCGGCGCCCGACGACGGCGACGACTGCGACCCGCCCGAGCACCTGCACTGGCCCGAGCCCGCTGAGGTAGGACGAACATCGGTACTGAGCATGGCGTGAACTACTGCTACTGCTAATCAAGACCAACTATAAATTAAAGTCATTAGTTCTTTACGACTCTCGTACGAATGTACATAAATTTGAAAATAGAATAATGTATCAATTAAATGAAATTGTTTGTTCTAATTCCTAAAACAATTTGAAAATTTATTTAAAAAGGTAGCTGTTCTTGCGTCTTCGTGCACGTGGAATTTAACTTTATTTTGCCAAAATAAAATATTTTTCTGAAATAAACTTTTATTTAGCCTAAGTTACTTCTTATTAAATCAGCTACCTGTCAAAAAATGGTCCGTCAAAATCGGTCCAGCCATTTCAGAGATTAGCCGGAACAAATAGACAGACAAATATCGTAAAAAAATGTTATGTTTGTATGATGTATCTTTTGCTCTAATTTTAAAATCGTAATTATACTAGTAATAACTTCAAACGCTCAAGTTATCTTGGGATCTGTCGATCTGACCAATATTGAGAGTGGGTGGGGACGTTGCAGATGGAGGAGTTGAGCAGCACGCCGCCAGCACCGGCGCCATCGCTGGTGACGTCAGCCGCCGCCTCACTGGCGTCCATGTGGCGCGGCTGGACCAAGTGACGCTCGCTGACCTCTCGTGACGTCGGCGGCCACGTGGCGCGGCTGGACCAAGTGACGCTCGCTGACCTCTCGTGACGTCGGCGGCCACGTGGCGCGGCTGGACCAAGTGACGCTCGCTGACCTCTCGTGACGTCGGCGGCCACGTGGCGCGGCTGGACCAAGTGACGCTCGCTGACCTCTCGTGACGTCGGCGGCCACGTGGCGCGGCTGGACCAAGTGACGCTCGCTGACCTCTCGTGACGTCGGCGGCCACGTGGCGCGGCTGTGACGCTCGCTGACCTCTCGTGACGTCGGCGGCCACGTGGCGCGGCTGGACCAAGTGACGCTCGCTGACCTCTCGTGACGTCGGCGGCCACGTGGCGCGGCTGGCCCGGCTCACTGCGGCTAGTGGCACCACCATGCTTTACCAACTTTTTCTTTCTTCTATAGGATCTAGGACATTTCGACTAAGTAATTCCTACGGCGTTCATTGGTATGTAGATCTCAAACTTGTATATGACATTTATTTCAGTATTGTATTGTTCTTGGAGAAAAAGTATGACATTTAACATTATAGTGTAAGAAACGTATACTAGAAATTAACCAAAAGAAGCAAAAAATTATATCTGAATCTGTGACTACATGTTGTAAACTTAAATGAGTTTTTTTTTGTCACTTGAAATGTTATATTGCCATCTACAATATTTGCAATAGAGCTAATTTTATACCTTTTTTTATATGATAAATGACAACGAACTAATGTTGCCAGACAAATACTACTAAAATGGTAGTTTTTCGTACTTTAAGATATTTTGTAAACTAATTGTTGACCATTATAAATCATGTATTAATGCATGAAATAATGGTGTAAGTTGTTACCTATAAAATGGTTTACCATCATGGGTGACCATCAGATCGACATTCCAAAAATCCATTTAATATAAGATTGTAACTTTAGAAAGTGTGTAAAATTCAGTGTCATTTATAAAATGTAATCTAGAACGTTGTTTATTTTGAAATTGTTATTAAAACCTGTTTAGCTGTTTTTGCTGGATTCTGTAACGATATCTCAACAATATTTTAAATAACTTGCTTGTACCTTGTTTTATAGAGAAACTAGCAGACCCGGGCACGCGTTGCTGTGGCTAAGGTTCTTGAATAAAATAATACTCTGACTATAAATTGAGATGTAAGCTATCCTATCTTTCAAGTTGGATCAAATTGCACACAATGTACAAATCAAATTTGCAATCGGTTCAGTAGTTTAGGCGTCCATCGCGGACAAACAACGTGACACGTAATTTTTATATATAAAAAATAACAGAATTTAAATTTACTAATGTTCGCTACAAAGAATCTGTTGTACATGTAAATGTATTGCATGTATTTTTAAATAGTGAAATGTTATGATTAATAAGATATTATGTACAATCGGCTACGAAAATATGTGACACGATGGAATAGTTAATGTTGGTGGTGAAGTGTGAAATAAATAGTAGTATTTGAAGTTGTCAACTATATTTCTTTGCCATGAAAGTCTAGTGCCTTATTAATATTCGAATGCATCCTGAGAATACATGAATATAGAAAATATTGTCATATTAAGAATTGACCATTCTCCGGATATGATTATGTACATAACTTTATTTGCATGCGCCAGAATTGTGCTTTAAATATGACTAAATGTGTTGCACTGTATGTAAGATTGTTATTGCAGTATAAAAGATTTAAGCCCTAAAATGCAAAACTACTATGAGTAAATAGTGAGATTATTAATATTACTGGCAACTCTTTTGATTTGGCAACGGTCGTCCGTTGCACTTATATATAGTATACTTTAATTATGTGGTTGTACGGACATTGTATTGTGTCTCTTATTATTTTGTGATTTATTTTTAATACAGGTACATTTTACGTAATGTGTGTTTGATTTATATCCCACTAGCTTTTACCCGCGGCTTCACTCGCTTTATATCAAATATTTTTTTTTTAATTAAAAGTAAATCTATATTCATTCTAATACCTCCATGAACATGATGTACAAAATTGCATCATGATCGGATCAGTAGTTTTTGCGTGAAAGCATAACAAACAACCCTACTTTGACATTTAAAATTTTATTAAGGATTAAGGATGAAAATAAAGTAAAACTCATGTATAATTCCATAAATTAAATATATTACAAAACATTACTATAAATACGACTAGTACAATACTGTTAACAATAAATGCATAAAAGATACGTTAATACTATAAAACAAAATGCCTTCTAAATTTTTTAACCTTTCGAACGTTTAACTGATCTGTGCACCCCTCTTAAACCGTATTACCGTCTTATCACAGATCTGTGCCCGCAAAACCGTGACTTTTTAGCCAATTTAGTCCTTATTCAAAACAAAATAAGATTGAAACGCATTTGATCAATACAGCTGGCGCGCGCATACCGCCTCTTCACTTCAGACAGACGACAAACATTCGAAAGATTAAACATGTTAAAAATTAGTGGAACAAAATTGCAGTCTTAATTATGAAAATTTTGGTAGTATTTTAATATATTTTACTGGCAACATTCACGCTGAAGCGTGCTAGATCCGACAAGATAAAGTTTGCAAAACAAAAGCGTGCTTAAAACTCGTTTAAATAGTGTTGGTATGCATAGTGAGACTAGAATACATTCTAAATCGACAGTACTTATATAAATCTATAGTAAAATGAAAATAACTCCAAGTTCCGTTTATTTTCATTTTATTATACATTTAAATACAACATGACTAATCAGATAGGATTGAAAGACATCAAATAAAGCCTTCGCACACAAGTCGTAGCGTAATTGTGTATGAGTGGATTTAAGAAGATATTTGAATCACCTCTCATATTGAAATCTGTGTGTGGTCACACTAAATTTTATAAAAAAAAAGTATAATAATTTCGATGTACTATTGAATTACACACAAGTAGAGAGAAGCGTATTGTAAGATCATTCATTATGCACATACTTAATAAGAGACGATAACTCAATAACTTAGGCTGCTGATATACAGTCGGGCACTTGCCTCATTTTGGAAGAAAACAGCGCGTCGCAGTACAACATTTCAACCGAACTCTACCGATACGTTATCGAATACAAACGAATCGAAGCGTGTTGTAAAATTTAAAATCAGACGATGACTCAATACCTTAGGCTGCTGATATACAGTCGGTTACTTGACTCATCTTGGAAGAAAACGGGGTGTCGCAATAGAATATCTGAAACGAAGTCTATTGGTACGTTTCTCGTATTAGACCAACTTTACAACTGACCGACTGTATATCAGCAGCCTTACTTCTGCAATTATGTTTCACTATGGTCTGTGTGTGATGGTTCTGAATTCTATTTGACTTGATCTTGGGCGACATGACTGTAGTATACATAGCAAAGTAGACCTAGTGTGGGTCGAGGTAAGGTCTAGTTTAGGTGTGTGGTCGCTGCCACCGACGGCGTCCCGCACACAGCGCCGCCTGCAGCCTCTCCACGCGCTCCAGTACTTCCGCACCCGGTGACAACGAACGCTAAGTATACACAAGAAATAAACGTTTTTATTTACTAGTAAGTTGACGTGTTACCGCTTTCTATGCGGGGTCGGTTTTTTATATAAATACCTAATGCATTTCATTGCCCGGAGAATATTAGTGTGTTATATATATAAAGCATAGTTTATTAAAGTAATATAAAAAAAAATACAGTACTAACACGAGAGGCGTGTTCGTGTCATAAAATAAGTTATAATAAATAGTTGATATATTCATTCATTCATAATTTAAGAGCTACGCTCTTGTCGGTGGAGCTCTTGCCACTTTCCGTGATCTTCCATCATGCTCTTTAATTCTTGATACGACACGACTCCCATTTTGTCCTCAGTTTGTTTGATGTAGCTATTCCTTGGTCTTCCCCTACCTCTCTTTCCTTCTATTTTCCCCTCAAGAATAATTTTCATGAAATCATCGTGCCATATCAAGTGTCCTAACATTTTTCCTCGTCTGTTTGTTTGTAGTTGTAGTTGATATATAATATCTATATTTTAAAAATATTTTGACGATCTTAGTGATTTATACTGCTTTACTTCTAATCGTTGCTGGTTTCATTTTTCACATGGTGTAAATGTATGATTAAATAATCATATACATCTGAATGTTTACTATGAAAAATGCATGTATTTATCAGTTGTTTAGTACTCATAACACAAGCTATACTTAGTTCGAGACTAGATGGCGTATTCATTTCCTAATACCAAAAATGGATTAACACCGTAGGATATATATGTATATATATGTCAGATGTAAACTCACCGGCGGCGTGCAGAGTACCGCGTGGTGCACGTGGCGAACCGGGTCTGGGAGCACGTGCGTGTTGGCAGGCCCGTGGATGACCGCGCGGCGCACGTGAGTGGGCGAGTCGATGGCCACGTGCGGGGCGTCGCACCCACCGGCGGCCACGTGTCGCCGCGCGGGCTGCTGCACGCCCACCGTCCGCACTCGCCCGCGTCCGCATCGCTACGTTTGTCATACTATTACCTTTTTTTCGGGCTACTCAACTACCAAATGCTGTTGGCCGCAGCTAGTCTTTACAGCGTACCGGACGATAGGAGGCAAATGCAGATGGCACTCCAAACCAAAGGAAAGACTTATGAAGCGGATTAAGGCCAACTCCCGCCTGACAGATACGACTTTAGTCAGAAGACAACGTTAGGGGTTCGAACCTCGGCAGGCTGTCGTAATGCCAATTCCCGTGGGCTAATTATGTAACTTCGTTCGCAACGATTTTCGTATGTAACGTAGTGAAAATGACGTCATCTGTCAATAATGCGATCATATAGACGCCATTTGACGCTGTCAACTAGCATTGCAACGTAAACGCAACTTTACATATCGATAAAAATTATTTCTATCGAATGTCGATTTAGTAACCTCGTTGCAACGTCACGTAATCGCTATTTTGCCGAAATGACAGCGTGGAATTGAAACGGTTTTTACATTATGAGAAACAATTTAGAAGGTGTTTCTTTTGGTTACAATCTTTAAAATATCAGCATTAGCAGCATTATTTATCTTGTTTTGGTAATTTTCAGTATTACATATATTTTTATTATATTAAATATTACGTAGAAAGTCGTGAAAAGGTTTTAAATTTATTAAAATGGGAAAATTGTCACGACTCACAACACGACATCAGTGTTGCCAATTCGATATTTTATTTTCGTCCCAAATCACATAGAATATTGTATTAACTAGAGTAAATGTTTAATATAAAATTAGGGTTGATTATGATATTAATATAATTAAAAAACTATTTCAATGAATACGGTGCTCTGTGAACGGAATACAACGTTTATGATGCTCTGTGATTTGTTTAAAGTAAATAAATTTATTTGTTTAAAGTTTTTACAATTATGTACAAATTTAAAAAGATGTGCCCATATCATTTTAAATTTATATGGATACCTACGTACTTACCTAGGTATCTATAGCAGAAAAGAAAATTTAATTTGTAGGTTAGATTAATATTATTAATGATTATAAATAGTTTGTATAAAATATGCTTTTATATTCAAAATTATTAACCTTATTTTTTCATTAGAATAGAATAGACTTTCTTTATTTTATTTTATTAAATGTCTATTAATAAAATTAAAATAAAAGAACAAGTGAACGCTGCAGTATATTTTGTAATTTTTGAACGCAATAAAAATTGTTTCAAATCAACCAACTAGTGTAACAACCCAATAAATTAAAATGTATCCCTCTAAAGGTATAAGCTATCTAATGTACTGACTTTTTAAATTGGTCGGATTAACAAAATTCCGCTGCAACTTCATAGTAGTGTTTTATCGATAGAAATGATTTATGTTGCGGTCATTCGACCTTACTTGATCGCATTTTTTAAATTGAAATGATTTCATATTGCATCACAACTTCAACAGAAACAATTTCATATCGTGTTACATAATTAGCCCACCGTTAGAATTGAAACAGATATGACGAATCAATCATCTAACCTTGAGATTAGTTTTAAGATTACTTGGTAAATTAATGTTTTTCTGCTGTGTTTTACTATTAAGTACGAGAATAGATAGTACTTACTCTGTCAGGACAAGACAGCGCCTTCTTCCTCAACATCCGTTTAGGTGGTATCGGTGCCGACGAACCGCTCGCTATCTCACTCCCACTGATTGTCCCCAGGTCACTCTGTCTCTCTTCCACTCTAGATGGACCCGCGAAGGTCATAGCTGACATCGTGCTGTTTCGTTGGCAAACACATTTTGAACAGCAGGGTCGCTTGAGTTGTGGGATTGGTTCCACGTTCTGCGTCTCTTGCAGGCGTTCTTGTAACATGTCAATAAGCATCTCTTGTTCTTTTATTTTCTCTTCTTGTTCACTAAGCAAATAATGATAAAATTATTATTATACCTCTTATAATATTTTGAACTATACCAACGTTTTAAAGGATTTAATGGTAGGTTATTTATCGATATCACTATATCGAGAAAAAAAAATAACCGTTGTAGGTATAAGTCTAGTTCTATAGTCTGTTTTTTAATCTCAGAGACAAATTTGACATTACCGATGTTATCAGGTTACTGCACTTTTTAAATAGGGTTGTGGCACTATCGGAAATTAATATTAATTAACCATTTTTATAGGTTAATTAGAAATAATGTGTGGGCAACTACCCACACATTATTTCTAATTAACCTATTATATATACCTTTGGAACGCATTATCACAAAAAATAAAGTATAGATATTTATAAATGTAGGGTGGTTGTAACAAAATAGATTTATTATTTTTTATACCACAGTGGGAATCATACTACATACAGGGTTACCAGTTAAGTCGACCTATTGTAAGGATGAATACATGTACTTAGTAAGTAGTATGTAAGTATTGATTATAAGAATATACAGACAATATACACTTAAACGTTGCACCTATCATTTGCCTATCAAGCACCACCCTTATATGGCAACCCCGCCGGCTTAGAATTAAATCTCGCGCGCTAACATCAGCAGATAAAATAAAATATTTGCAGATAAATATTTTAATCAAATATGAATATATACGTATAGTAAAGAAGGGAAAACAAGCCCGTTAGGGGCGTATAGTTTCTGACACATTTCACTATGAGACACCCTATCCTAATCGTTTTTTGATATAATTGAAATTAATTACAAAAAAAAATCCCGATTTTCTACTGTTAACTTAGATATTTTAAAACGTGTAAGTCTTATTATTACTATTATTTGATTTGATACATAAAATAAGATGTTCTATCACTTTAATACGTAAAATAAATAAGTAAGTAGTTAAACTAAAAATAACAATAATAATATATTTAATCTACTGTCACTAATTTATAGGCCGTAACATCTGTGCTAGGGAATACATGTGTTACAGATGTTATTTTAATTTCATAATGTATGTATGTGTGTGTATGTGTGTGTATGGGTGTGTGTGTGTGTGTGCGTACCTGTGTCGTGCCCGCATACGCTGCACCCAGCGTCGCACGGTAGCGAGCGCGTGTCGCGCCTCCGCGCACAAACTAGCGCCGCGCTCGTGCGCTTCCTCCAGTTGCGCTTGAAGCGCACGCGCATTCTCGCACGCTTCTCTATTACACAAACATTCAAGGTCAACTTCAACCAGCAACAAGACGTAGAGAACGGCTCCACCCCTACACTATTGACATCCCAGCTGCTCGAACTAACCGTTTTGCATCATCTTTCCTTATGCGAGCAGCTAAGGAGTGGAACTCTCTACCAGCGTCTATTTTTCCTGCCTCTTACAACATTGGGTCTTTCAAGTCAAGAGTGAATAGGTATTATTTGAGCTTGCGTGTAACAGCTTAGACCACATCATCACTTAACATCAGGTGAGATTGCGGTCAAACGCGCTCAAATTATGATATAAAAAAAAAAAAAACCAATTTATGAGACTAAAGTCGTTGGTTTCAGGACTTCTGTCACTGAGCAGCTTTGTATGCCGTATTTCAATTCGTCATACTCGTGAACGGGTGCTGCTTGTAAGGACTGGTCTGCTCTCACAATCACTATGATTGTTTTCCTCTTATTAATTGTTTAACCAGTTGGTTGTATATTCAATATTTTTTCTATTTAATCATTTAATTGAATTAGTGCTAATTGGTAGTTTATATTCATACACTTAAACTTAAAAATGTAAAGTAACAATAAAATTATTTAAAAGAGCAACACGCAAGTTTCTTACTTATCATTCTTGTGATAAGACAGCTTTCCGAATGAACGGTAGATTTAAAAAAATAGTTGACTATTCAAAAGTGCTTAAATTAAGTTTATTTGAATAAATGATTTTCTATTCTATTCTATTCTACTTGTGATCACTTAATATCATCTTCCACAATTAATTGACTCAGAAAATAATATTTAACTCCACTTGTGATCACTTAATATCATCTTCCACAATTAATTGACTGAGAGAATAATATTTAACTCCACTTGTGATCACTTAATATCATCTTCCACAATTAATTGACTGAGAGAATAATATTTAACTCCACTTGTGATCACTTAATATCATCTTCCACAATTAATTGACTCAGAAAATAATATTTAACTCCACTTGTGATCACTTAATATCATGTTCCACAATTAATTGACTGAGAGAATAATATTTAACTCCACTTGTGATCACTTAATATAATCTTCCACAATTAACTGACTGAGAGAATAATATTTAACTCCACTTGTGATCACTTAATATCATCTTCCACAATTAATTGACTGAGAGAATAATATTTAACTCCACTTGTGATCACTTAATATCATGTTCCACAATTAATTGACTGAGAGAATAATATTTAACTCCACTTGTGATCACTTAATATCATCTTCCACAATTAATTGACTGAGAGAATAATATTTAACTCCACTTGTGATCACTTAATATCATCTTCCACAATTAATTGACTCAGAAAATAATATTTAACAAAAGATCACAATCACAAAGATACAGTATATTTCCATATACTGTATCTTTTGTGATTGTGATCTTGTGAGCGTGACGTTGCGTTGCGTAGACGCGTCAGTGTTGGCCGACCGCCACAAACTTTTTTGCTACTTTTATTATTGTTAGAACAATTCTTTTTTATATGTCGTGTTGATATACTTCACTTTATTGATACATTGTTCTTTTGATAGTTTGCAACTACCTTTATACGTTCTTCACTCACGTTACCTGTGAGAGACGTCCGCGTGGCGGCATCTCTCGGCGGCCTCCTGCAGCCGTTCGTGCAGCGAGGACACGCGCCGCTCGCTGGCACACAATTGCTCACGCCAGCATCGAACCTGCGACGACAGCCGGCACACCGAGCCGCGGACGTCGTCGTTCTGGAGGATATTTCTTTATTGTTATTACAAATATGTATTAATTTTCTTACAGAATTCGTAAAAACATACAACTATATACCTATCTATTTTTAAAATCACTAGTATCCTGACGACTTAGGCGTAATGCCGGTTAGTCAGGGAGAGAAACACCTCATTGCCTACAATATTCACAATTACCTATCTCTTATTTGTTTTTATAATAATATAAACACTTTCGTTCCAAAACTCCCGCTGCCTACGTTCAATCATCCGTCATCCACTTGTCAGTCACATAGATTACTTTGGCTCTGGCCTCTGACGTTCCGTTTCAGGTTACATGATTATTGACTTTACCATTTTTAACTAATGGTGCGTCACACGATAGTTAACACTATATAGACATCAATTTATTCTCCCTTACTAATATTATACTGTAATGTTATAAACTTGAAAGTAACTCAGTCTGTCTGTCTCGCTTTCACGCCAAAACTACGGAACCGATTTAAATAAAATATAGTACACAGATAGTCTAGACCCTGAGAAAAGACATAGGTTACTTTTTAATGTCAGAAAAGGGTTCTAAAGTTCTCCTTTTTCAACCTCTTAGAACTCAGAGTCTAGACTATTTGTGTACCAAATTTTACTTAAATCTGTTCAGTAATTCTATCATGAAAGCGTGACAGTGGATTGTTAGTAATGTGGACTAATAACCATAGCGTGGCTAGCAATGTACCATGTCAGATTGACCTCCACGTGGTTCCCCCTGGAAACCATCGTGCAACATTCCATTATCATCCATAAAAAAAACAGACAGTTATTTTCGTATTTATACCTCTTTGATGATGTTGTTCGCTTTATCCAGTTCCTCGTGCATCTTCACCAGCTCGTCTTCGTGAGCTGTGCACTGCCGCTGCACTTCTACCAGCTCCTCGGTTTTGTCGCTTAACATCACTGCAGTAAAGTATATACATATATTACTTATATAAAAAAAACCTACGTCAAAGTCCACTTTGACGTAGGTACTACTACTTCTAGCATTGTTAGGGGATTTTTTTATATAATCTGTTCAATAATAAATAACTCTGAACAATAAACACATCACCATCTAGTCTACGATAAACAGAGCTTGTGTTATGGGTACTAGATAACTGATATAAATACATAGATTTTTTTTGTAAATATATACACAATATACATAGAAAACAGCCAGACCGATACAAACACTTATACTCATGAATACAATTGTTTGCACCATGTGAATCGAATCCGCTACCATCGGAAATAAAGTGTGCAAAACTGCTAGATAACTGAGGCCGTCATCGTTCAATATTTGAGTTAATAATAAAACTCTTTAATGTATTGTTATATATTATTTTATTTTATGTGTCTACTTTTAATATTGGTGCAATAAAGAATTATAAAAAAAATAAAAAAAACAATTTTTTGCTCCCTATAATCATGATCATCTGCTTCTTCCTTATCCAATATATTTGGGGTCGGCATAATATGTTTTCCGGAGGGAAAAGGAACTGTTAGTAATATGGACTCATGACCCCACTGCTAGCAATGTACCATGTCAGGTTGACCTCCACGCGGTTCCCCCTAGAAACCATCGTGACAAATTCCTGCTGAATTTGTCACTATGGGCTAACTGACCTGAATTCATGTACATCTTATCATCCTCCACTGGTGCCCGCCAGCGTAAACCGTTAGCGCAGGCGGGTGCACCATTTCTTTTTCATCCCAAAAAAATGTTTTCCTCTTTATAATATTAAATTAATTTTGTAAAACTGATACAGCTTGTAAAATAAGTTATATTCTTTATAATAATATATTAAAATATTTCAACAATTCAAATTTTGGCGCGCTCCGCTGTTGATTCCAAGGTGTGTTAGAGGGAGCTGTCAGCAGGAAGAAAATAAAAATGTATCGTGCAAAAACAAGACAGCCGCAGCTGGCCTTTACAGCTTTACCGGACGTTAGGGGGCGAGTGCAGATGGCACTCCAAACCCGCGGAAGGACTTATCGAGCGGCTGAAGGCCAGCTCCTGCCTGACGGATACGACTTTAGTCTGAGGGCACCACTAGGGGTTCGAACCTCAGCTCAGGCCGTCGTAACATCGGTCCTCGTTTGAATTGGTCGGGGGATCGATCGGAGGGGCAAAAACAAGTGTGCGTGAATAAGGTTAAATAAAATATATTATAAAAAGACAGTATTAGTTGAATAATAATTGTAATAAACTTTAAATGTCGTTTCTTTGTTTACAGGTGAGTTATATGTGTGATTCAATATTTTAGTGTTAAATAATTGTAGTGTTTTAAAATTAAATAAAACAATTCTTTGTTTACAGAGAAACAACTTAACTTGGTAACAACAGCCTGACTTGGTAAATTATTAATTTTAAATGCTTATAAACTTCAAGAATTTAATTCAATCAAATCAATTCAAAATATCTTTATTCATGTAGGTCTATTACAGACTTATGATATGTCAAATCTACCGTCAGTTCGGAATGATTTCCAGTTGAGAAGAACTGACAAGAAACTCAATTCGTCTTCTTCTATACATAGTATAAAACAATGTCGCAGTCGCCGTCTGTCCGTCCGTATGTATGCTTAAATCATTAAAACTACGCAACGGATTTTGAAGCGGTTTTTTTTATAGAGTGATTCAAGAAGAATGTTTATATGTATAATAGACGGCCTCGGTGGTATAGCGGTTTAGCACACCGCTTTACTACCGATGGTCGCGGGTTCGATTCCTCAAACATTTGTATTCATGAGTATGATTGTTTGTATCGGTCTGGGTGTTTTCTATGTATAATATGTATGTATTTACGAAAAAAATTATCTATGTATTTGTATCAGTTGTCTAGTACCCATAATACAAGCTTTAGCTAGCTTAACTTGGGTCTAGATGGTGCTGTGTGAATTGTCCTGAGATTATTATTATTATTATTATAATACATACATATTATAGTACATGTTAATAATAATAAAGATACATTTTGAAATTCAGATGTGAGTTGTACATCTTGGTTTCAAAGTCTACAATTGTGTATATTAGTACCGATAACTATACATGTAGTTCTCGGTTACCTTGAGTCTGCAGGATCTGCCTGGTGAGAGAGTCGATGATGGAATTTTTCTCAGTTAAACTGTCACCTGACAGCTTCAGCTGTTCTCGAACTGTCACCAACTGTAATGATAGTCACAATATTATGATTTACCTTCATACTAGCTGTATACGCGACTTCGTCAGCGTGGAATTTAACTATACAGTGGACCCCCGGTAGCCCGACAATCATTTTGCAGGGCAGTGTCGGACTATCGAATTTGTCGGATTATAGAGTACTGCCTAAGACCCCTTATAGTCCGAATTTTTTTACAAAAGAGTACCTTGTAATCCGACAAATTATAGATCCAGTGATGATTCTTTATACATATACAGTGGACCCCCGGTTATCCGACAAACATTTTGCAGGGCAGTGTCGGACCATCGTATTTGTTGGATTATAGAGTGCTGCTTAAGGGTCCTCTGCTTATATATATAGAATTTTTTACAAAAGAGTATCTTGTAATCCGACAAATTACAGATCCAGTGATAAGATTCTATGTTATATATGTATGTATGTATATGCACTCTGAAGTATATTGTCAAAGTAATATTCAATAACAAATAATAGACAATGTCGGATTACAAGGGGGGCCGGATTAGACAGGGGCCGGATTACCGCGGGTCCACTGTATTTCTAAAATGAAAGTTTTTCTAAAACAAAGGTAGCCTAAGTTACTCCACATTACACCTGCTACCTGCCAATAAAAGTCCTGTCAAAATCGGTCCAGTCATTTTAGAGATTAGCCGGAACAGACAGGCAGACAGACAAAAATTGTAAAAATGTAATTTTGGTGTATGTACCGTATTTATATTCATATGCATGTAGTAAACCATTATATCAATATTACAAACAGACACTCCAATTTTATTTATATGTATAGATAATAATATTATTTTAGGAGTTTCGATATTTCGACAGTTACTAGTCTTTAATTTAATAAGTACTATTGACTACAAAATATGTAATAACAACCTTTATGACGACCTCGGTGGTCTAGCGGTCTAGCACACTGATGGTCGCGGGTTCGATTCCTCGCACGGCACAAACACATTCATGAGTGTGATTGTTTGTCTAGGTGTTTTCTATGTACAATATGTATGTATTTATAATATATATATCTATGTACATATATCAGTTGTCTAGTACCCATAACACAAGCTTTAGCTAGCTTAACTTGGGTCTAGATGGCGCTGTGTGAATTGTCCTAAGATTATTATTATTATTATTTACCTATAAACAAGGTAAAATTTTATTGATCATTTTTTACACTACTGGCAATTTTCTTTTCATACCTGATATTATATTGTTAAAAAATTGATTATTAACTACCTAAGTATTTAACAACTGACAGCTGTTTTGAACTCGTTTAAAGAGTTAACTGTAGGAAATAGGGCGTTCAGAATTTGTAAACGTATTTATTTATTTATTTATTTTCGGAAAACCAAGGCTATTTACAAACATAGTTTTAGCAAGAACTAGTTCAGATTATAGTGATAAAATGCATATTGAAGTTTTTAACACGTTTAAACGTTTTATATATATATTCTATCGCATTCAGTTCGAACTAAGCTCTATCAGTAGAATAGAATAGAATAGAATAGAAAATCATTTATTCAAATAAACTTAATTTAAGCACTTTTGAATAGTCAACACTTTTTTTTAAATCTACCGCAATTAATCTTTTTTCTTTAAGTCGGAAAGCTGTCTCGTCACAAGAAGAATATGCAAGAAACTTGTGTGTTGCTCTTTTAAACAATCCTTGTAAGTTTACATTTACAAGTCGAAACGTGTGAATACAAACTACCAACCAGCACTAATTTATTTAGGCTCAAATATAAAAACACAATAAGATTAAATCATCAGTTTCTTTGGTGATCCCAGAATCCAGCCTTAAGTAAAGAATAATACTGATTAAAAACGTTGGCTAGAGCATGTGCACAGAATGGAACCCTCCCGTTTACCACTACGCGTTCTGCTCGGTGCAATAGCAAATGCAATGAGAGACGTACATAGGCATTTACCTAGATTGCGTCAAACGCGACATGGCCACATTTCAAATAGATCACCGTGACTGGGAAAAGTTCGCAACAAATAGAATAGATTGGCGCGTAACGTGGCGACGTGTAATGGTGAATGGATGCCTGGCTTCAAAAACTTGCTGACAATAGACGGAAGCGCCATGTAGGCGGTTCAGAACCGACTAATGGCAATATTTTCTCTTGTCGAGCCTGTGGTAGGCTCGTATCGATTTTGGTCGGGCCTGGAAAGGATTGCCTCTATTTATAATCTGGAAGCGGCGGAGACTGCAGGTCGAACAGAACGCCGCCATCAGTCTGTGCACAAATGCCGTGAATGACATGATCGCCCGCGACCTCAAGTCTCATCGGTGGAGCAGTTTGACGTCCGGACAGCGGGCGCGCAGCGCACCTGCGCGACCTCGCCCCCCTCCACGCGCGCCCACCGGACGCCACTCGCGCGCTCCCGCGCGACTTACTCTCCACCGAGTGATCACGTCATTTACGTGACGTGGTGGCGTTAAGCCGGCTCGGCGAGCGAAAGAATGATTCCCGCCACACAACGCCCACAGGCGGATGCTGAAAAGCAGCCGCCCTGCCGGCCGGTAAAAGAACGACGCTGGGGTGGTCCACCCCAGCAGAATGCCCGGGCAAGGAGCGCAAGCTCGGGGCCCGTACCCAGCGGTCCGCAAAAAGACCAGCGGACGACCCGAAGTGAGTAATCTAGAACCCGACCAGGGCTAAAAAGAAGATAGCTCAGTTTTGAAAGATGAGGTTAAGTAGAGATGCGTGCAATGGCTAGCTTGCATAAGGTAAAAATAAGGAACGACTCACAATTGATGGCTGGAGCGATCTCTTGAAGGGTTGATTTCACTGGAACTGATGCAGAAGCTTGTCTTCCAAAGCTTAACTACTCTTTTCACTGCCTAAGGGCTAGCCCAGCACAAACTGTTATTAGCTATTTAAATTGTTGTACATTATCAGTTGAATTGAAACACTGCTACCATTACGGCATCTCGACGCAAAGAAGTTTTGTTGCGTATTAAAAGCACCTGTGACGTGTAGAGCCGCTGTGAGTCGATGAGGGATAAAAGGTTTCTTATATCGGCGCATAGATGGCACCGCTAGTTTGAAATTACGATATTTGGGAATAAGGAACTCAAGCCAGCACAGGTTTATATAGCCACGAAAAGAGCTGTTCACGGACCATTACGCCACAAATCGTTTATAACATACGCATAGGTCATTAGTTAGATTAAAAAATATAAAAGTTTATTTTAAGTTAAAATTATTTTAACATTTTTTATGGTAAGTACCAAGTTAAAATTGTTATAATATTTTTTATGGTTTTACCTCTTTCTCTTTCTCTTCTAACTGCTGCTGGTATCGTGCGTACATTCCATCTTTTTCTAACAACGAGGTTTCCAAGTCGCGTACACGTTGCCGAAGATCTCCCATTTGTAACTAAGTACAAAAAAAATCATCAACAAAACAAACCTTACAAAATCACGCTACTCTACTCTCAGCCTCTGCTCAGTGTTACTAGAATACAATAGAATAGAAAATCATCTATTGAAATAAACTTAATTTAAGTACTTCTGTATAGTCATAACATTTTTTTAATCTACCGCTCATTCGGAAAGCTGTCACATCACAAGAAGAACGAGCAAGAAACTTAAGTGTTGCTCTTTTAAATAATAATTGTAAGTTTAAATTTTCAAGTCAAAACGTGTGAATACAATCTATAATCACCGTCGCTGTCCGTCCGTCCCTATGTATGCTTAAATCTTTAAAACTACGCAACGGATTTTGAACCCGTTTTTATAATAGATAGAGTTATTCAAGAGGAAAAGCGAAGCCGCGAGTAGCTAGTAATTAATATAACAAACAGTCTAACGTTACTCACCTCTATAGCTTCGTTGTTCTGTTTCAGTCTCAGGTTTTCTTCCTCCAGTCCGCAGGTACAGTCAGTCTAAAACACAATTAGCATTCTCATTTTAATTTTAATAGCAAGGATAACTGAAATGATAATCTGAACCATAACTATCAGACGCATGCTACAGTTATCGGAGCTTCGCCTAATTTTTTTTTATATTATTAAAAAAATCGACGCGGATGATGTCGCGGGTAACAGCTAGTAAAGAATAAGCATGCACAGACACAAAAGGTATAATAATTATCAAAAGCTATAATATGCGAATCGGGTGAAGGAGATTGTATGTTAGTAATAAAAAAAATTCAAAAATCATTTATTCATGTAGTACATTTTAGCGGCTTATGAAGGTCAAATACATTATAATTTTAATTTTTTCCCTACCGTCCAGTTCAGTATATGGATCTAATTGAGAAGAACTGTCAAGAAACTCAATTGAATATTTTATTTTTTTAAAGCCAGTTTATTTACAATGTATATATATATACAACCATTGCCATGCACGCTCGTGATTCATAATGTAGTCTAATAACTCCATTACTAACAATATACCAAACCAGGTTCCACGCGGTTCCCCCTGGAGACGATCATGGTTAATTCCTGACAAATTCACAACGTAATGCTATTTTTTTTATTGAGAATTTTGGCCTATTTTTAGGTACTAAGACCCTGTACTGCGACCTACATAGATCTATTGTGCTTGCCCTTTTTCAGAGTCCCAGATCTGTCAGGGCCAAGAATTGAAGGATATTCTTAGGAGCGATGGTTTTTATCCTCAGGATAGAGTGTTTACTTTCAAATGAGATATTTCGTTCATGCATGAGTGGGTTACAACCACAGGATGTGTAGCAGAATAAATATTATATATATATTAAATATTTAAACTTTTTGCCTCGCACAACCACATTGTGGAATCACCTTCCAGCAATGGTATTTCCGAACCGATACGATATTGAAACCTTCAAGAAAAGAGCTTATTCCTTTTTAAAAGGCCGACAACGTAATTGCAATTCCCCTGGTGTTGCGGGTGCTCATGGGCGGCGGTAATCACTTACCATCAGGTGAGCCGCATGCTCGTTTGTCCCCTGTGTTATAAAAAAAAAATTTAATAATCTGCAGATTTTGCCATGCTGGAAAGAAACGCCACTGCATTTCCCCCTGCAGATAGGCTACCTGACCCGACTTCATGCTCATCCTATCATCTTCCACTAACCACGCTACCATTCCCTTATCATGCACTTAAAAAACGCGCATGGTGTGCAAGGACATACAGTAAGCATATGCTGCAGCCGGAGGAGCTGCGCGGTGATGTCCTGCAGCTCCTCAGACACCTCCGCGGCGGGGGACTCCTCGGACCGCTCCCACACTCCCTGCCCGAGTAAAACGACTAGTGACGTATAAAATTGCTTTATTTACAAATTTAATAATAACAAAAACACTAATAGTATACAATTCATGCAATTAAACATTAATTAACTTGCCTAAATTAAAATTAAGTACTATTTTACTTAATTTATCTATACATATAAATAAAATTGGAGTGTCTGTTTGTAATATTGAAATAACTGTTTTTAACTACATGCATATGAATACAAATACGGTACATGCACCAAAATAACATTTTTTACAATTTTTGTCTGTCTGTCTGTTTGTTCCGGCTAATCTCAGTATTTATTTACCAAAAAAAATGCATCCATGTATTTATATCAGTTGTCTAGCACCCATAACACAAGCTCTGCTTCACTTAGAACTAGATGGCGTGTGAATTGTCCTGAGATATATTATTATTATAAAAAGGACCCTCTCAGTCCGTAATTATTTTTTGTTGTCACTAATTTATTTTTATGATTTTATAAATAGGTTACATATAATGGGGTTGATATGAATGGAAACGAAAACCCGAAAAATCAATTTAGATAGCAAATGTTAAATATACATTTGCAGCAAAATTTCCGTCCTCTATCAACTTAGGCATGAACCATGCAATTTATTATTCTAAGTTAGTTAGACCACAGCAAAATATTACTCTCATAATATATTCCACAATACCGAATCGTTGTTGGAGCTGTTCAAGAAATTCGATATCTCCAACTTTAGGTTGTCCACCTCCAGCGCTATATCCTGAAATAATTTGCTACGATTATTTTATAGGCAAACAATTAAAAGTACGCATCACATAAATACTGCAGCTTCTAAAACCGTAATTAAATTAAAAAATAAACAGGATAACGCGGAAAAATACAAGATACAATATTAAATCAAACATATGCCCTGGGGATTGTTAGTAATTTGGAATGATGATCTTATTGCTAGCAATATACCAAGTCAGGTTGACCTCCACGCGGTTCCCCTTGGAAACCATCGTGATAAATTCTTCATGAATTTGTCACGATGGGCTAACTGACCTGACTTCATGTTCATCTTATCATCCTCCACTGGTGCCCCGCCAGCGTAAACTGTTAGCGCAGGCGGGTGCTCCATTCCATAATCACCCATAAAAAAAACCAGGGGATATGTTAACAACAATAATATAGACATATCTATACAATAATAACTAAAATTAATTTAAAATATATGAGAATAATTTAATTATCAAAATTATATTTGACGGTCTCGGAAATCTAGCGGTTTAGCACAACACCTTATCGATGGTCGCTGGTTCGATTCCTCACACAGTACTAACATTTATACCCAAAACAAGATGTTTTATATATGTATGTTTGTTGCATTTAGAATAAAAAAATGTATTTATTATATATTATATCATTAAATACTAACATTTACACAAGCTTTGGTTAGCTCGAAATTTTCTTGGGTTATAATACATTTATTTTTATTTCTATCAGTTGTCTAGTACCCATAACACAAGCTCTGCTTAGCTTGGGACTAGATGGCGCTGTATTAATTGTGCAGGGTTATTTATTTATTATTAAGAATTGTATTGAGTTATCATTATTTTCTCACGTGACACTGTTCGAGAGACCACTTCTGGCTGTGAACCACATTCTGCAGTCGGCCGATCTGCTCAGTCTTCTCGCGGTCCATTAATCTCACGTCGAGACACGATTTGCGCAGCATCTCTATTATCTCCTCCTGTTTTGCCGTCTGCAAATTTACGAATACAAAATTATATACAACTAGCTGTCGCCGCGACTTCGTCCGCGTGGAATTTAACGTTATTTTTCTAAAATAAAAGTAGCCTAAGTTACTCGTTATTACATCAGGCACCTGCCAAAAAAAGTCCCATCAAAATCGGTGCAGCCATTTCAGAGATTAGCCGAACAATTAGACAGACAATAATGGTAAAAAATGTTATTTTGGTGTATGTACCGTATTTATATTCATATGCATGTAGTAAAAAGCGGTTATTTCAATATTGAAAACAAACACTCCAATTTTATTTCTGTGTATCGAATTTAAATTAAATTATCGGATACATTTTCATACAACCCATCATCTAATATTAAACATCTTACCTCATAGAAACACTCTCGGTAGAGTTCTTCAATCACTGACAAGTTGCTCTGCAGTGTACTGACCATACTCTTTTGATTCTCCATTTCCTACAAACGAAGCGATTATTAATTCATTTGATGATGATGATGATGATGGTGATAATGATGATGACTATGATGATGATGATGATGATGATGATGATGACCTCCTTGTCATAAATACGACAATAGCGACTCTTTCATGTGCTATTATGTCACTAGCGAAACCAACTTTATTTTTAAAGACTCGGTCGCATTGCGTGCTGAAAATTATTATTTATTTATTGCATTACGCATTTATGATATGAATATTAAGACACATAAAGCACACAAAAAAATTATTATACAGGATTAGTCGGAAATGTATACTAAGTCGTTAGCACTGTAACTATATTACTAGCTGTACCCGCGAATTCATACGCATGGAATCTAAGTTCATTTTTCTAAAATAAATGTTACTCCTTATTATATCAGCCAAAATAAGTCCCGTCAAAATCGGTCCAGCCATTTCAGGGATTAGCCGGAACAAACAGACCGACAGACACAGACAAAAATTATAAAAAATATTATTTTGGTATATGTACCGTATATATATTCATATGCATGTAGTAAAAAACGGTTATTTCAATATTACAAACAGACACTCCAATTTTATTTATATGTACAGATATCTTAATTTTTTTTTTATTATTTTATGCAAAAAGAAAAATGTATTATTCAATTCAATCAATCAAAAACAGCCGACGTTCTGTATTAGTAGAATAGTAAGTCGGAGCGCAACGAAATAAATCACGGTCGATTTTGATACCTAAAAATAATTTCATTCAAAAATATACGAAAAAAAAATCACGCCAGATTTTGATTCCTAAAAATAATTTCATTCAAAAACAATTAACAAAAAATGCAGTGGTTTTCCTCTCAAATAAAACCACTGAGTTTTTTACGTTATTGGAACCAATTAATATGAGTAAACGTACGTAAATGTAAATTTCTCAACATCCCGAGAAGACCCGAGAAATTAACCTCGAGAATTCTCGAGACCCGAGAAATTGAAAAGCTCGAGAAATCATGAACCCTAGTCTAGATGGCGCTGTGTGACTTGTCCTGAGATTAAAAAAACTTTAAACCGATAGTTCTCGAAAAAATAATATAGTTTCAGACTAAATTGTAGAACAACAATCGTAGAACAGCATTGTATATTTAACTATTCGGTAGATGCTTCGACAGACATACACATGTACCCAAACCGCACACACTTAAATTTGTAACAATATCTGATAAATATACTTTTTTTTTAATCGTTGCAATTGTTTGAGTTTTTTTTGTTTAATGTGTTATTAAATGTATATTAACATCTACCGAATAAATATCATTTCATTTCAACAAGTTATTCGTTACCGCGAGTGGTAGGTACCATATCCTTGCGACTTAGTTATCCTCTTTCCGATAATCCTGTATAAATATGTTTAAAATGAATTTTAATAGTAACTTTATATACTAACTATACGATAATAACATCTTCCACAATTAATTGACTGACACAATAACATTTAACTGCACTTGTGATCACTTAATATCATCTTCCACAATTAATTTACACAGAAAATAATATTTAACTCCACTTGTGATCACTTAATATCGTCTTCCACAATTAATTGACTGAGAGAATAATATTTAACTCCACTTGTGATCACTTAATATCGTCTTCCACAATTAATTGACTGAGAGAATAATATTTAACTCCACTTGTGATCACTTAATATCATATTCCACAATTCATTGACTAAGAGAATAATATTTAACTCCACTTGTGATCACTTAATATCATATTCCACAATTCATTGACTAAGAGAATAATATTTAACTCCACTTGTGATCACTTAATATCATATTCCACAATTCATTGACTAAGAGAATAATATTTAACTCCACTTGTAATTGGTCTGCTCTGATTTAATCTTATTGTGTTTTTATATTTGAGCCTAAATAAATTAGTGCTGGTTGGTAGTTTGAATTCACACGTTTCGACTTGTAAAATGTGAACTTACAAGGATTGTTTAAAAGAGCAACACACAAGTTTCTTGCTTATTCTTCTTGTGATGAGACAGCTTTCCGAATAAGCGGTAGATTTAAAAAAATTTTGACTATTCAGAAGTGCTTAAATTAAGTTTATTTGAATAAATGATTTTCTATTCTATTCTATTCTATTCTACTTGTGATCACTTAATATCATCTTCCACAATTAATTGACTGAGAGAATAATATTTAACTCCACTTGTGATCACTTAATATCATCTTCCACAATTAATTGACTCAGAAAATAATATTTAACTCCACAAAAGATCACAAGTAGAATAACACGTTTAACCGCATGAATAGAGACGTACACCGCGAGCCTAGTTCAATTTATTTTCACTTCTGTTTCTGATTTTTAAAAGCTTATATTTCTATAAATTACGTTACTGAGTTAGATGCAGTTTCGTATTAAAACAGACATGTTCCTGCCAACTAAGACTTGTTAATTTTTTTAAAATTCACATTTTATTCGTTAAGAAAGAGTATGAATAAAAAATTAGCAAGAACGAGCCACGAGTCTCTCAATGCCCAATCACACACGCAACCTCTACATTTTTGTAGTTAACTATAAAAATATTTTTATATTTAATTATTTAATATGTCTATTTTCACGAGATTATTATTTACAGTGATCGCAAACATATTATAATATAATATTAGCAGTAGAATAGAATAAAATTATCTATACTTGTACACTTTTAAACTTTTGTAGTTCAAAATAGATATATCAGTTAACACGTGTTGAGGAGCAGGTGGTCGCCCCGTTTCAGCGGATATCCTGCGTTCCAAATCTTTACAAAAAAATCTCCACTGGATTATTCCGTGTCGCAATCACGTCTCGTGAACGAGATACCACCAAAGATTGATAAAATATCAGTATTATTATTAGGGCTCGGAATAGATAGTGCAATTTTAATTACTTGCAGCAAGAAAGTCAATGTAAGCAACGTAAGATAAGACCTAAAATCTGTTTGATTTCCGGGAACTAAAATCATGCAATGCAATGCAACTTATCTTATATATAAAATTCTCGTGTCACAGTTTTCGTTCCCATACTCCTCCGAAACGGCTTAACCGATTCTCATGAAATTATGTGAGCGTATTGAATAGGTCTGAGAATCGGCCAACATCAATTTTTCATCTCCCTAAATGTTAGGGGTAGTCCACCCCTAAATTTTTTTTTATTTTAAAGCAAAATAACGTTTGCTGGGACAGCTTGTATAATTATAAAATCATGAAAATTACACTAATTGTTTATTTATAGGTTTATAGGAGTGAGTAGAAGGAAAAAAAACATGTCCAGATATTTATTGCAATTTAAAAGATAAGTCAGAGTGCAGTAGTGTTCCAAAGATGACAATTATTCGTCTTCGAATTCAAGATCGCCAACAAAACATCATCGTCGGGTTTATTATAATATAATACTATTATTTTTTCGGCATTATTGGATGTCAAGGAATTTCTTTTGATATTCATTATCCATTTATACAGCGAAAAAGAAAATAGTACGTCAAAGGCATATCCATACTATTGATGTCACAAAATCGCAAGTACATAAAATTGCACTACCCGATTATTACCCTATTCCGAGCCCTAATTATTATTGTTAACCAGGTTTAAGACACGAACTATTTAATGGTAAATAAGTTTACCTTTCTAGATAAGAAACTAAAAAAGTCTGATATAATACTTTTATTCTATTCTTCCAATATTGTAATTGGCTTATAAGAAATGCATTTTATATCCTAAATCTGTATTTAAATTTATAGTTATATTATATTTATACATTTTATATTAAACTCTTGTTTGTTACTTCATTCTGTTTTATTGTCAATACCGTCCAAATAAATAAAAAAAAATATTTTCTCCGTTTACCAAGTCTTTATACCTTTTACCTATATATTTATTTTTTATTTATTTATTTGCAGAATACAATGTTACAAGTAGGTCTTACAATATGAATATTCGTTCAATGTATTCAGCCTGCTAACAGGCGTGCAAAATTTATACACGTTATTACTTTTATAAATTGAATTAATTTTTAAAATATTTCTAATAATTAAATTAAATTATTTATATATTAAAATATGTCAAAACTAACAATTTTACATGTCAAAAAAATCCTTAATACTATAAAAACAGTTTTCTAATAACCAATTATAAAGTCTAGATTTAAAAAGTCTAAAATTTTGCATTTTTATGTCAGTTGGTAATTTATTGTAAATTTTAATCATCATGTTGTAACTATTTTTTTCAAAGATTGCACTTCTATATATTGGTTTTAACAATCGTGTTGGGTCTCTTGGTCTAAGTAAGGGATTATTAGATTTAAGTTTAAATATATCAGGGTGTGTTTTCACAAAACAACTACACTGATGAATATATAAACCAGATAGGGTCAGCAATTTATATTTTTTAAATAGGGGCCGACATGAATCTGTCTGTTTCAAATTGGCTATCGCTCTGATGCATTTCTTCTGAGTTATAAAAACTCTGTTGACCAGAGTACAATTGCCCCATACAATTAAACCATACCTAAGTACAGAAGCAACATATCCGTGGTATGCTGTAAGAGCAGTTTTTCCCCTGCTATATTCAGACGTCTTAAGACATAAATAAATTTTTCTAATTTTATACAAACACTCTCAATATGTTGTTTCCAATTACAATGTCTATCTAATATTATACCCAAAAATTTTGTATGGTCCGTTTTTTGTATATTTTGATTTTTATAGTCAATATTTAATTTTAGTGGTTTAGCTTGATAGTTAGTTATACAAATATTATTAAACTACAACATATATTAATTTATACACTCTTAACTGTTACAGGCGGCGACCGTCGTCCGCATGGAAAACCTTTGATGTCATGTCATTTTTAATTCTTAAGACTAATTATAAAAAAGTTTCATTATTCTATCTTCAAAAATTACGAATTTCAAAATAAATTTTCATCCCCTATTTTATTTTATCCCGTAAAAGTTTTACAAACTTTGAATGTATGACATTCAAAGTTTGTAAAACTTTTTACTTTTTCTTTTTTTTTTTCTCTATTTTATTATTTAATCAACAGCCTAAAAAATAAGTTTCTACCCTTAAAAATGACGATTCTTCATACAACATTGCATCTCCCCTTTCAACCCCTTACAACCCTTTTTCGCATTAAAAAGCCTGTCCTTTCTCAGGGTCTAGATTATCTGTATACCATTCATTTAAATCAGTTCACTAGTTTTGGCGTGAAAGCGTGACAGACAGACAGAGTTACTTTTGCATTTATAATTGTTATAACTGGCTAATCAGATATGTATTTTATATTCTAAATTTGTATTTATAGTTCTTTTATATTACATTCCTGTTTTTTAATTCCTTTTTTCTATTCCTAATTGTCAGTGGTCTATATTATTATATTTTCTCCGTTTACCTAGTCTTTTTTCTTATTACTACAACAATAATTAGTGAGGAAGGATAAGGATTTACTATTTTATTAATCTGACCTGTATGTCTGTGCTAACGGAGAAGTCAGATTTGTCATTCTTGGCGTCCAAGACTTGCCGCAACGTCTTCAGCTGTAAATAAATTATTTATTACTAATCCCATCAAAAACATAAATGTGAAATGATAGCCGATAGTTGTCTTCTACGACAAAAGAGGTGAGATCTAAATGGGTGCCAAGTTCAATGATCTGTCCTGAAATGTATTTATAATAATATAAAAATAATTTCTTCTTATAACTTAGGATAATATACTGTAGCCTAAGTAACAGGTTTAGAACTTGCGAAGGCTATAGTATATTTCGTATATGAAAACTAGCCAAATCAGACCTTAGGAAGTGTTATAATTTTGATCTATAGTTGATCAGTGATAAAAATGACGATATTTGGACGTTAATATCTAAATAACCGTTTGAGATATGTTTATGAAATTTGGAACACATATTTATCGCAAGTCTCAATATATGAACCAAATTTAACAGGTTTAAGTGAAAGAGTTTTTGAGTTATGAGGGGGTCAAAAGTGGCTCCAAATGGTTCGTGTAAATATACACACGGTGCTGCTCGCCAGTTCTCTTACTTGAACTCGGCTTTGACACGCTCCCGCATGTAGATAGGCTTTGTAAGCACTAATAGTGCTTACAAAATACTTGAATGGCCCCATACGAAAACAGTGGTATTTCTTAATAGCTACTATCTATAGACAAACAGAAACTAAAATCTTTCCTCAATATAATGTAAATATAGATATCATTCAATTTCATCAGACGCGGAATGCATTCTACAGTTTTGTTTTTACAGGAAACGACCCAAATTTTTAACTGTGCTGTAGCGACACCAAATTCCTGGATTCCTAACGTTTTATTTTACTTTTATATCACCTTACATATTCTAATTTGTTTCTTCTAATGTCTAAGCGTGTTATTCTTTTATTTATAGAAAATACCTAGACCGTTACAAACAATCATACTCATGAATACAAATGTTTGTAACGTGCATGGAATCTAATCTGCGACTATCGGAAGTAAAGCGGTATGCTAAACCTCTAGATCTCCGAGGGCGTCAATGCGACATATTGGCGGCAGGTGTTACCTACCAGCTGGTGGGGAGTGAGTGAGATGTGATTGAAATGTGAACATATAACCACATTACTAGGGGGAAAGGGCATTGTTAGTAATGTGGACTAATGATCCCATTGCTAGCAATGTACCATGTCAGATCGACCTCCACGCGGTTCCACCTGGAAACCATCGTGATACATTCCCGGTGAATTTGTCACGTAGGGCTAACTGACCTGACCATATGTTCATCTTATCATCCTCCACTGGTGCCCCGCCAGCGTAAACCGTTATTGCAGGCGGGTGCACCATTCCATTATCATCCTTTAAAAAGAAACCACATTACTAGCAATGTACCATGTCAGGTTGACCTCCACGCGATTCCCCCTGGAAACCATCGTGATAAATTCCTAGTTGTTCATGTACGGGATTTTCATTTAATGTTACCTATATACATAGTAAATAAACTGGCTTTTAAAGTAATTGAATTGAGTTTCTTGCCAGTTCTTCTATATTGGATCTATATACCGAACTGGACGGTAGGGAAATAATAAAGTTATAATATAAAGTAATTTACGATCATAAGCGGCTAAAATGTCCTACATGAATAACTGATTTTTTAATTTGAATTTGAAACGGCGATCGAAATTACGACGGCCTGAGCTGAGTTTCGAACCCCTAGTGGTGTCCTCTGACTAAAGTCGAAATTGAATCTGAATGAAATGAATGTCGAAGTGAATTTGAATTTAAGAACACATATATGTTTGTATGTGTGTGGTCACCTCGTGTACTTTATCGTTGAGGTCGGCCCTCAGCGCGGCCGCCCGCTCCGTCAGTGCTGTGATGCGAGTCTCCGCTAACTGCAAGCTCTCACTCTGCACGCGCACCGTCTCTTCTTTATTCCGCAGCTGTATTTATTATATTATATTAATAACTAGCTGAACCCGCGACTTCGTCCGCGTGGAGTTTAACTTTAATTTTTCTAAAACAAAAGTAGCCTAAGTTACTCCTTATTACATCAGCTACCTGCCAATAAAAGTCCCATCAAAATCGGTCCAGCCATTTCAGAGATTACCCGAAACAGACATTTAGACAAAAATTGTAAAAAATATTATTTTGGTGTATGTACCGTATTTATATTCATATGCATGTAGTAAAAACGGTTATTTCAATATTACAAATCGACACTCCAATTTTATTTATACGTATAGATAATAATTCAGGACAATTCACACATCGTCAACTAGTCCCAAGATAAGTAAAGTTTGTATTATGGGTCTGAGACAACTGCTACAACACGAAACATCACACAAGTATCCGAACAATTCACACAAGCATCTAGTCCCAAGCTGAACAGAGCTTGTGTTATGGGTACTAGACTACTAATACAAATACTTAATTTTTTTTGTAAATGCTATAATAATGGGATCTAGTGTCGCTATTGTTATCGATGTACTATGTTAGGTCAACCTCCAAGGGGTTCCCCCTGGAAACCATCGTGGTTAATACCTGGTTGTTTAATCACTATAGGCAAACTGACCTGACCTCATGTTCATCTTATCATCCTCTACTGGTGCCCCGACAGCGTATACTGTTAGCGCAGGCGTGTGGACCATTCCATTATCATCATCATCATCATCTGCTTCTTCCTTATCCTGTTTATTTGGGGTCGGCGACCATTCCATTATAATCCATTAAAAATATATATATACAAAACATTCAGGCCGATATAAACAATCATACTCATGAATACAAAACTTTGTACCGGAATCAAATCTGCGACCATCAGAAATAAAGCGGTGTACTAAACCACCGGTGTACGCGGTGTTAAATCACCTAATGTATGTATACTTACAATCTGTAGGGCGGCGAGCAGTTGGTTGTGGTAGTGCTGCGCACGCGCCGCCGCCTCGCACTCGCCGCTGCCCGCACTCGACGCGCACGCGCTCTCCTTAACAACAACAAAACGGTCGAGTGCATCACTTTGAAGCCGAGCGGCCATTATATGATTGATATCCCTTGTTAAAAGCTTCCTTTACACACTCAGCGTCAAGCCGCTTCACGCGCGATGCGGCGTCACGCTGGACAGTGTGCATGGTGCCTTTACACGTACGCTCTTTCCAAATCCTTCAGAGTGAGCATGGTGCCTTTAATAATAATAATAATAAAGACATTTATTCAGCATTACAGTATTCTTAGATGCTATCTATCTTATATACTATACAACTTAAAAGCTAAAAGCTAAAACATACTAGTAACGCTGAATGTGACTCCCACTCAGCATTTATACTGCAGTATATATATACCACAGTGCTGATTTTCAGTGGGGCCACCACACAGGAGAGAGCGTACGTAAAGATTACTAAAGAAAATAAAACGTTAAAATTAAGACCATTTTATAAATAGGTATGAATATGTATGTAAAGATAAATGCAATTTTAATTAATGTATGTATTTAGTATATTCTGTATATTATTTAAGTAGGTATATTGCTATGTAATGAGATATTTATTATAATAAAATTTATTAATAATATTTAAATATATAACGTACATAAACGGTGTAGTTGGTACATACTTTACATGATGTCTTTTACGCTCTTTCCGAATCGTTCAGTGAAGATGCAAAGTCCAACTGCGGTTAACAGAATTGGAATAGTTCGACAAAAGCATGCCATTATTTGCAGCGCGAATCGATTTTCGCGCAGGAAATAATGTTCATGTAAACGTAGACAAAGAGAACGAGAAAGCCCGCGCGCGCAAACAGTGAGCGCATTCCCGCGCAAACAGTGAGCGCATTCCCGCGCAAACAGTGAGCGCATTCCCGGGCAAACAGTGAGCGCATTCCCGGGCAAACAGTGAGCGCATTCCCGCGCATACAGTGAGCGCATTCCCGCGCAAACAGTGAGCGCATTCCCGCGCATACAGTGAGCGCATTCCCGCGCATACAGTGAGCGCATTCCCGCGCAAACAGTGAGCGCATTCCCGCGCAAACAGTGAGAGCATTCCCGCGCAAACAGTGAGCGCATTCCCGCGCAAACAGTGAGCGCATTCCCGCGCATACAGTGAGCGCCTTCCAGCGCATACAGTGAGCGCATTCCCGGACAAACAGTGAGCTTTGTGGGTGGATCCAGCTTGGACGGGGGTCACATAGTCGTGGTCAAGTCAAGAAGTTATAATTTAATTTTGATAACAATAGATACAAGTAAAAAGTAGGCATATTATTAATGTACGTAAATACAGTACTTATAAAATATTAATAAAATCTGTATGGTGACAAAATATATAAATGAAATCATTACGTTCAATAAGTGGTACACCTAAGACCTGGGCTCAGGGGGGTCATGACTCCCATAAGCCCCCCCCCCCCACTCCTGGATCTGCCGTTGATCAATTGTAAGTGTTTTGGCGCCTTTTCGTAAGAATAATTTTCATTAGTAATGAAGCAAAATCATACTTATAGAGTTATTGATAATTTATAAATATTAGACTTGTCTTTGGAAAATAAAATAAAAAGGAAAATTTAAAAAAAGATGAAACTTTCGCGCCAACACACGCGTATTCGTGAACAAGATGCAATCACTGACGATTTGGCGTTGGAATTTAAGAGTACGTTAAATCGCTTTTTTTTTTGTTAAACAGAAGCGTTAAAAAAACAAAAATTGCGCGGGAAAAATCGTGCCGTGTAAAGGCAGCTAAACTTGAATTTAATATAGCTAATGCTTTCAGGGAACTGGGAGTACATTTGTTAATGATATTTATATCAACAGATGATTTATACAATTTTAATACGATATTACTCTCTTATTCTATTTTAAATTTGAGATTCCAGTGATGGTGAGTCCGTTTGGTGTATTTTTTTTATATGGAACAAACATTTTATTCCATTCATGTTATCATCGATAGGTTTAAAAAATAATATATAAACCAAAAGGGTAAATAATTTACCTTATATTTATAATAAACTAGCTGTTTCCGCGACTTTGTCCGCGTGGTTTAATAATATATATTTTTTTTTTAAATAAAAGATTTTTTCTAAAATAAAAGTAGCATACATTACTCCTAATTACATCAGCTACCTGTCAAAGTCCCATCAAAATCGGTCCAGCCATTTCAGAGATTAGCCGGAACAAACAGACAGACAGACAGACAAAAATTGTAAAAAATATATTTTGGTATACGTACTGTATTTATAGTCATATGCATGTAGTAAAAAACGGTTATTTCAATATTACAAACAGACACTCCAATTTTATTTATATGTATAGATATGTATATTATTATAAATACAGTATAATGTAGGTAAGTAAACACCTACATAAATAAATGCTTTGTTAGAATTTATAGAAATATAGATAGATAAGATCATAGAAATAATGTTATAGCTATTCAAAAGTACTTCAATGTAAAGAAAATCATTTATTTTTGAATAAAACATTTTCTATTCTAGACTACAAAGTAGGTATACAAATATTTATAACGTTCTGTATTATAGGACGATCTCATAAATCTGTTAAACTAAATATTAATCTTTATTGTAATTTAAAATGGTATATATCTAGTAGTTATTAATAAACTGAGCTATATTTTATTTTGTTTACATAAGTGTATACAATTTTTATGTAACGGCCTACTCTATTTTTTTTTTTTTTACACTCTCTGGCTTTATCAAGAAACGAACTTTTTGAAAAGTTCAAATCTGAAATTGAACCTACGGAGCATCGAACACGGAATATCTTGTAAAAAGGAAATTCATGTAAAAGCAACAGTTAAACAAAAACTAACAACGATAGTTGTCAGTATATTTGAATTATGAGTGATCCTTTACATTAAATAACAATATCACTATATAATTATAGTTATAGTAATTTATAATTATTGTTTTTTGTTTTGTTCACACAAGTTGCAAATATTTATTCTTTTGATTCGTTTCTTCTCAACTTTAAAAGCTTATTTCAAAATACTTTTTTTTTATAACAGGGAACAAACGAGCATGCGGCTCACCTGATGTGATTAAATAAATAAATAAATAAAGACATTTATTCAGCATTACAGTATTCTTAGATGCTCTCTATCTTACATATATACTATACAACTTAAAAGCCCACGCTGAAGCACCCGCATACACCAGGCTGATTTGCAAGTACGTTGTCGGCCTTTTAAAAAGGAATAAGCTCTTTTCTTGAAGGTTTCAATATCTTATCGGTTCGGAAATACCATTGCTGGAAGGTGATTCCACAATGTGGTTGTGCGAGGCAAAAGATAAAAAAAACATTTGTAATTCTTAACAAGATTAACATAATAATTAATATGTAATTAATTAATATAAAAATCTGGTACTTGTTCACGAAAAAACTACTGAACGGATTGTGATGTAATTTTACAATAATATAGCTTATACATCAGAATAAATAGGCTATAAATTACACGCAGGTGAAAACCGCGGGCATAGCTAGTAAAAAATATATGACTATTAAAAAGTGATTATATTAAGTTTACTTTAATAAACATTACTTATATCTATTCTTTTAAAAAAAACACTCACTTTTGTGAAATCACTGGTGTCCGAATCCCCGCACATGATTAGTCCGTTGAACATCAACAATTCACTCATTAGTTCATAAACCACACAATACTATGTTCAACTTATTTTATGTTCAAATATTAGTTATGTTCTAAATGTAGTTCACACAATAGTATGTTCAAATATTAGCTATGTTCTAAATGTAATTCACACAATAGTATGTTCAACTTATTTTATGTTCAAATATTAGTTATGTTCTAAATGTAGTTCACACAAACACATATAAGTATGTACACAATAGTATGTTCAAATATTAGCTATGTTCTAAATGTAATTCACACAATAGTATGTTCAACTTATTTTATGTTCAAATATAACATATGTTCTAAATGTAGTTATCCAAACAAGTACCAAGGTCATCACTATTTACACCATTCACTACAATTTGTAAACATGTTCATGTACACCACGATAAACAACTTTGCGTACGCGCAGCCCGTTGGAGACTCGTCGAGACCCGTTGCAGATGCAGCGAGCTATTTTTGTAATGTCGTAAATATAGTCATTTTGGAAATGTGGCGGAAGTCACACCGCGCCGCGCGTGGCCCACTTGTACACCGTAAACCGTGCACGTGTATTATACAGGCTGCTACTTTTATGTGGTAGGGTTCCGTGCCAATCTTTATATATATAAATTACGTGTCACGTTGTTTGTCCGCGATGGACTCCTAAACTAATGAACGGATGGCAAATTTGATTTGCACATTGTGTGCAATTTGATCAAACTTGAAAGATAGGATAGCTTACATCTCAATTTATAGTCGCAATATTACTTTATTCCAGAACCTTAACCACAGCAATGCGCCCGGCCACGCATCTGCTAGTTTTATTGTAGATATTAAATACATTTGGAACCTCAGTGGTCCAGAGTGGTTTCGAGAGTTTTCTCCCACGCAAATTGTAAAATAACTTACCTTTCTTTACATCAGGAAAATCCGTCATAGAAACCCATTAGCCAAATGGGTATTGGCAGATTCCTACCGGCTAAAAACCCGATGGTATACCTCTCAGCTCATGGCGGGCGAGGTCATGGGAACGTCATTCTTCCGCTTCCCCGCCCAGAGCTAGGATGAACACCCCAAGGCATCACGGGATATATGCCGAGCGCCCCGCTCGGAGAAATGAACTACCTGTTGCTTTCTTTATGTATATTCTGTACGTTTTCTCTAGAGATTTCAATATAGTGTTTATCTAGGTATATTC